GGCATTCTTTTTAAGTTGGTGGGCCCGGGATGCAGCGTGCAGCCTGCCCTATAGGGCCCAGCGCCCGCACTCCGTGCCACCAGCCGGCCCCAGCAATGTCTTTTTAAGTCTTCACAGTGGCGCCAGCAGCCAGAGAGAAGGCCTCGCGTATCAGGGCAGGGGTGTCTGGAGAAGCCTCAGGGTGCCCAACAGAGCCACTGTGGGGCCAGGGGACCCCCCACAGTCTCTGTCTCCTTACACCCAGAAGCAAGCCTCCCCGGGGAGGACGCCGTGGACGACAAGAGTTGTAACTGCGAGTTCGTCACTGAGGACCTGACCCCCGGCCTTAAAGTCAGCATCCGGGCCGTGTGGTGAGGACTCTTCCTGGGACGTGGGCGGGCCCAGTAACGAGGCTGCGGTCCCGCAGTAACGAGGCCTATAGTCCCGCGCCCGTAGGTCAGGACCTCTTGCACCTGGTGTGGCTGGGGCCTGAGCAGGGCTGTCTGTGATGGGGCCTGGGGAGGAGGCTGTTGAGACGGCCAGGAGCTGCCCCCTCCTAGGGCGCGCTGAGTAGAGCGAGCCTGTCTGGTGCCAGGCACGTGGTGGCCTGTGTGCGGGGCAGACGGGCGACCCAGGGGAGGGGGCGAGTCCTAGCAGCGCCCGGGGACCACGGTCTCAGAGACACTGGGCCGTCTCGAGCCAGGGGCTCAGGGTGCCTCCCGTCCCCAGCGTCATGCGGTTCCTGGTGTCCAAGCGGAAGTTCAAGGAGAGCCTGCGGCCGTACGATGTGATGGATGTCATCGAGCAGTACTCGGCCGGTCACCTGGACATGCTGTCCCGCATCAAGAGCCTGCAGGCCAGGCAAGGGCCGCCCGCCCGGTGGACCAGGTGGCGCCGCGGGCCGGCGTGAGGCAGCCGGGCAGTCAGCGTCTGCCGTCCCCCGCAGTCTGTCTTGTGTGTGTTGTCGCTCCCTGTCCCCCACATGCACTGTGGTGAGCACGCATGTGCACACTCACATGCACGTGTGTGGTGTCTGTGTGCACGCATGTGTGTGTAGATGCACACATACGCACTGGTATGTGCACACATGGGTGAGTTCTGTGCCAGGTGTTCACGCATGTGCGTGCGTGGCGAGTGGAGTTGTCTGTGGGGGTGGGGCTGCAGGGTTTCAGAGCCCCCAGGTGACAGTACATGTGCCCCTCCTCAGAGAACATGGCTCGCCACCCTCCCCACATGGAAGGGGCGTTCCGCAGCCTAAGCAGGAGGCTGGGCTGGGGCAGACGCCTCGCCCGGCCATGTGTGTGTGAGCGCTGCCTTGTTCTTCCCGGGGTCGCACACGTGTGCGCATGGGGGCCTGAGCACACACACGCATTCCCGTGTACAGGCACGTGCACATGTGCGTGCACACAGGCCTACGCCTACCCCCACGTGTGCGTGTGCACACACAGCCACGTGCAGACCAGCCCCCGTGTGTGGTTCTGGCACAGCAGCAGTCTTCCCGCCCTGGGAGGTGACGGGAGAGGGCTGGGTCCTCGGAGCCCCGGGGGCCCCTCCCTGCCCGCTCCGGCTGTGGTCCCTTCCCAGGAGGCCCGGGGTCTCTCGACCTCGTGTGGCTCCTGCAGGTGGGGCCCGGCCGGGGTCTTACACGGCAACCTCCTGGAAATGGACCGGACCAGAGCACGTGTGCATGTGTGTGTGCGTGTGCGTGTAAGAGGTCCTGGTGTGGCTGCCCCGCGTGTCCCCGTCTCTCACCACGGCTGTTTTTGTTCACCAGGCTCTTCTGTCCCAAGTGTCCCCTCTTCCTTCCCTCTCTGTCTGGAAATAGACCCACCTGCCCGAGGAGCCCGGGCGCCCTCTGCCGATGGTTACGTGTTGCGTGTAGCCCATGTGCTCTCTGGTACTCCGCTCCCAGCGCAGCCGCACCCTGTGCCCCGCATGCCGGCGCCTCGGCGGCCCCGGGTGTCCACTGCCCACTGGCCCCGCTCCGAGCTGAATGCTTTGCTTGGAACAGGAGACACGGGGCAGGCCGAGGTCACGCGTGGCACGGGCACTCCTGCCGGCGTGCCCGCGGACGTGCTGTGGTCGAGCGGGTTGCTCTGCCCGCGTCTGCAGTCCCCACGCTGCTGGTGACGCCATCTGCGCTTCTCTTCTTCACTCTGCCAGGATAGATATGATTGTGGGCCCCCCACCCCCTTCAACTCCCCGGCACAAGAAGTACCCCACCAAAGGACCCACGGCCCCCGCGAGAGAGTCGCCCCAGTACTCTCCTAGGTTAGGAAGCCACCCCTTCCTGACGTGTCTGTGGAATGGCCAGCCCCTTCCCTCCAGGCCACATGACGGAGCGCCTCCTGCTGGCCTGTGCCCTGGGCACGGGCACACCCAGGCTTTCTCTGTCCCCTTGCCAGGGCTCCAACAGGCTGGTCAGGGTGCCCATGGGGCTACTCCTCCCGGCCTGTCCTGTGAGTGTCCCTGGGGCGGCCACTCCTGGGCAGAGGAGAGCAGGGCCTCCTGGACCCGGCCTGTGGGAGGACGTGGCTGAGGGCAGCCTCCGGCCCCAGGTGTGCCCTTTGTGGGCCCCACCCAACACACCCGCCGCAGCCTGGTCGGCCAGCGGGTGGCGCCTCTGGGGCCCTCTGCTCCCGGGGGCACAGGCAGCAGCGCCCGCCTTCGGCCGTGGAGCGTTGTCTAGAACAGACCTGGCACCTGCAGTGGCCTGGGCTCCCCGTGCGCTCGGGCACTGTGGCCGTCATTCGCATGATGGGTGGCAGGACAGCAGGTCCCCGCTGATGGCTGCAGTGGGCGGTGAACTGAGCCAGGGAGCTCGAGGCAGCTCAGACCACGTGATTGGGACAGCCTGCTCCTCCCTGGGACTGGCCGAGGTGGCCAGCCCTCCTCCGGCAAGGCCTGCTCCGAACTCAGGTCAGGGCACTCTGACTCAGCACAGCCCCAGGGCCACAGCAGATGCTGCTGTCCAGGCGGTGCTGTGCTGCACAGCTGGCCTCTCTGGGCTGGGGTCTTTGTGCATGGTCCGGTGCCAGGCACCTCTGAGCCGGGCTCTTCCTGAGGTAAGAGTTGCCGGGGAGCCACCGGGCTGCCACCTCTGGCCTGGGAGCCCGACGCTGCGGCTATATGTGAGTCTGGGGTGCTGTGCCCCGTCCTGGGGGTTGTGCTGGAGCGTTTCTGCTGACCCCACTCCCAGACCCCCAATAGCCACAGCTGGGGACAGGCAGGTTCACGCAGAGAAGGACTGGCCAGACCCCTGCAGGACTCTCGCGCCCCGAGCAGTGCTAGGCCAGCCCTCAACCAGGCCCCTGGGACCAGCCAGCAGGCAGCCCGTCATGTGGCAGGGGTGGAGGTGCTGAGCACCTGCCTGGACTGTGTGGGCCTGGGACACGCCCGCCCCCTCCCCGGTGTCTGCTTTGAGGGCAGGCGCCCTCCCACCCTCGCACCACTGCTTCCCTCCGGCCCCGGCGCATGAGCCCAGCATGGGCACAGCATGGCCTCTCCCGCCCCGTGTGGCAGACACCTGCCCTCCCACCTGCCAGAGGTAGACAGGGCAGCCCTGCTGGCAGGCAGTGGAGACGGCCCTACGCTCGCGGCCCCTGCAGGGGTGCTTGTCACGAAGCTCCTGTCCAGAGGACCTGACCCAGCTGCGTGGCCTCCCTGGGCTGATGCCTGCCTCCAGCTGCCCTCTGCCCAGTGGGGCTTTTGCTGTGCCTCGCCCGTTGTGCCAGTCCTGCGGGGCCCTTCCTGTGCCACGCGGCCTGCTGGTGTGCGGTGAACAGGAGCCCCCACTATCGGTGCCAGAGACCCCAGGCCCTGCAGCCACACTTGCATCACATCAGCACACCGTGCACAGCCCTGGGGGCAGCAGCCCCATGGCCCCCTCGTCCTGGCATGGAGCCCCACGGCCCCCGCTTCTGTCGCTGCAGACGTTTAGCTCCACCCCACGAGACCCCAGTCAGCCGGTGGCCTCCGTGGCACATTACATGGGAGTAAAGCTGGGGTGGGCGGGCACAGCGTGGGGGGCCTGGGGGGCAGTGCCCCTGTGCTCTGGAGCCCAGGCTGGCCCCAGCCCAGCCTCACAGCCTGCACTGTCAGCTGTCCAGCGACCGGGGCTGGGCGTGCTGTGGGCCCACTGGGTTAAAGAGAGCCAGGGTGTGGGCTGGGCTGCGCCCCCGCCCTGCAGGGGAGGGGCGGGGACCTGACTTTACTCCCCTAATGTGCCAGCCCCAGGGAGCAGCGGCACGGCTGGGAGCAGGATGGAGGGAGTCAGGACGCAGGGTGAGGCTGGGGCTCGCTGTGGCCACTGCCCTGGCCTTGCTGTCCCCCAGTGGGGTCTGGGCTGGGCCTGGAGCCCAGATCTGCAGGGACTGTGGCCTGGCCCAGGAGGAGAGGGCCAAGGGCCCCACCCAGACCCCAACTCATGGTTGGGGGCGGGGTCTCTTCCCGGTAGAGTGGACCAGATCGTGGGGCGGGGACCAGCGATAGCGGACAAGGACCGCACCAAGGGCCCCACGGATGCAGAGCTCCCCGAAGACCCCAGCATGATGGGCCGCCTGGGGAAGGTGGAGAAGCAGGTGAGCACGAGGCTGGGTGTGTGGCAGCGCCCAGGGCCAGAGGGCTGCCCCTGCCCTTGTCCCCCACCTCCGTGAACTCTGCTAGGTGTGAGCCTGAGTCCACGGCTTCTCCGGTGCTCCGCGGGCAGCCGGGGTACCTTACCCAACCCCACTGCGCTTCCCGGGGGCGGGTCTTCAGAAACCAGCACAGAGGCTGGTCTGAGTCTTGTCAAGCTTGCTCTGAGCCTAGACTCTGGGGAGCAGCAGGTCTGGGCTCCACTGCAGGATGTCCCTCCATACCTGGGGTCACCTGGGTCCTCCACCTTCATGGCATCATCAGGGTCTCCATCCCCAACTCCTCCTCTGCTGGGAGACAGCAGCCCTCTGCCCGGCAAACTGTTCGGTAGCAGGCTCAAAGGCCCCCCCGCCTCCAGGGACCATCCCGGACCCCCGCCTCCTGGGCCCATCCTCAGTCCCTCACCTGGGATCATCCTGGGACCCCCGCCTCCTGGGCTATCCCGACCCCCTGCCCCGCCCCAGGTGCTGTCCATGGAGAAGAAGCTGGACTTCCTGGTGAGCATTTACACGCAGCGCATGGGGATCCCCCCTGCGGAGGCCGAGGCCTACTTTGGGGCCAAGGAGCCGGAGCCGGTACCACAGTCCTGAGGACAGCCGGGAGCCGGCGGACAGGAACGGCCACATCATCAAGGTCGTGCGCTCCGCCAGCTCCACGGGCCACAAGAACTTCTCAGCGCCACCGGCCATGCCGCCCTCCCAGTGCCCGCCCTCCACCTCATGGCAGCGCCAGGGCCATGGCGTCTCGCCCGCAGGGGACCACAGCTCGCTGGTGCGCATCCCACCTCCCCCCACCCACGAGCGGTCGCTGTCTGCCTACAGTGGGGGCAACCGGGCCAGCACAGAGTTCCTGCGGCTGGAGGACGCCCCAGGTGGCAGGCCCCATGAGGGCGCCCTGCGGGACAGCGACACGTCCATCTCCATCCCGTCCGTGGACCATGAGGAGCTCGAGCGTTCCTTCAGTGGCTTCAGCATCTCCCAGTCCAAGGAGAACCTGGACGCCCTCAACAGCTGCTATGCGGCCGCAGCGCCCTGTGCCAAAGTCCGGCCCTACATTGCTGAGGGCGAGTCGGACACGGACTCGGACCTCTGCACCCCCTGCGGGCCCCCGCCGCGCTCCGCCACAGGAGAGGGCCCCTTTGGTGACGTGGGCTGGGCTGGGCCCAGGAAGTGATGCCGCACTGGCCGCTGGACTGCCGCCCTCACCCTGCCCCTGCCTCCTGGATTGTGAGGCCCGGAGACGGACGAAGGCCTGCAGGGCCCCTGTGGGGTGGGGGCGGCAGGGCTCCTTACCCTGGAGGAGTGAAGGACAAGTTCTTTATGACCAGGCAGAGGGCCAGTGAGGGCCCAAGTGGCCCTGGAGCATGGGGCAACAAGACCAGCCTAATTCTACCAGGGTGGGGAGGGCCACTGGCTTGAGGGCCTGGCAGGGCTGGAGTGACAGCAGGTGCAGGGGTAGGGACAGGCCTGGGCTGGCAGGGTGCAGGCCTAGGCGGGTGGGCAGTGAGGGCAGGCCTGGCGGGGTGGCTGCCGGAGGGTGTGGCTGGCCCTGGGCAGGCCCTGCCTGGTTCCTGGCTCAGCCGCTGCCCATCCTCCGTGTGTCTGTGTGCCGCCGCTGCCTCGTGGGACCAACTGGAGAGCTACCTGTCAGCATCCTGTCCCTCTGGGCACTAAGAGGACTCTCACTTGGAACTGAGGAAGGCTGTGTCTTGGCGACAAAACCAGGGTCCCCAGACCCTCCTGGCTTCGGCCTCTGGGGCACTGACTCCATAGTTCGGGGGTCCTTGGGGCCTGATCCCCGCCGGAGCGTGGGAGGCTTGTAGCACCGTCACTGCATCCTCTCTTCCCTGCCTCACCTGGCCAGGTGCCAGTCTCTGAGCTGTGGCCAGCGCTGTGAGGGTGCCCTGGAGAGCAGACCCATACTGCCCTGGGCCAGGGCCCGCTCTGCCTGGCCTGTGATATCCCACAGACCCAGGGCAGGGCAGGGCAGGGCGGCTCCCCAGTGGCCTGTCCTGCAGCATGGGCAGTGGGGAGCAGCTTTCTGGCCTCGCAGGAGGCAGCTTCCACCAGGTCCTGCCAGGGTCCCACCCTCCCCCGTTTTTCACTTTGTATCCTGGGAGTCAGGGGTGCCCTGTCATCACTGTGGCACCTGGGGTGGCAGCCTCGTGGGGCAGTGGCCCCCTGTGTGGCCAGCACTGTCCCCATGGTGTCCAGGGGGAGCTGGGCCCTGCCCTCAGCTGCTGCTTTGCACCCACTTTGCTGGGACCAGAGGGGCCTGCAGTGACAGCGCCTGCCTCATGCCGGGGAAGCAGCGGTGGCGGCGTGCCTGGCCAGGGCCCTGGCACTTGGGGCCGAGGAGGCTGCTGCAGGCTGGGCCGCCCCTCCAGGATGCCCCTGGGCACCTCTGCCAAGCTGCAGGGCCAGAGCACGCTGGGCCACTCCTCCCCTCCCTGTGCCGAGGCAGGGACCAGGCTCCAGGACAGGTGGGAAGCTGCCACCTGCTCACCGGCCTGTCTTCTCAGCATGTTCTGGTTCTCAAGGGCCATCGTGTGCCCGGTCCCTGCGCTGTGAGAAGTACCACCTCTGGATGGGCTGCAAGTGACCGCCCCACCTGGCCGGGGCCGCACGTGGGGCCGGAGGCTGACCTGGCTAGCCCATCCACAGCCGACAAGCCCACGGCCCACAGGAGCATCGGGGCCACCTCTCAGCCCGACTCGGGCCCCTTAGGCTCCCGTCTGAGAGTTTGCGTCCTACACTGCAGGCTCCCCTCCTCATGCTGAGTGGGCCCGGGGCCTCAAGCAGCCAGTGCCCAGAGCAGGGTCTACAGAGTGAGGAAGGAGTCGGCTCACCCACTGCAGGGTGGGCCAGGAGGGTCTTGCTTGGGTGGCAGTGGGAGGGCGAGGCCAGGCTGGCGTCCTGCCCTGGAGCTCTGGGCCTGGGGAGGGAAGGCCGTGTCTGTGGACCCTCTAGGGGCCCAGTTTCCAGAGACGCCTGGGCGGTTCTCTGCCCCTTGACCTCTGGAAAACCGTGACAGACAAGGCTCCCGCAGCTCTGCACGTCCTGGGTGCACGTGTACCACCAGTGTGCCCATGTGGCACTGGTTTCCCAGGACCACATGTGTGTTGAAGCGTGTGTCCACCCATGACCCTAGGCATGTCCTCACACATACACATGCATGCACAGATGTGTGTGCATGCACACAGACCACATGCACACACGTGCACACCGCCACGTGGCTGGCTTTGGTGGCCCTCTGTCTCTGGTCTCCCTCTGACTCTGCCTGTGGAGCAAAGTCCCCAGGACCAGTGACTTCAGGAATGGAGGATGTTCTGGAAGGTTTTTGTGGAGGACCCCACGCAGCCAGAGAGGCCACCTTGCAGGGCACGGTCAGCCAAGTGCCCGGGGTGGCTGGGATCAGAAGTCCTGGTGCCGTGTGCACCCTGGCTCAGTCCTGCCCCAGCTGAGGACCTGGGTGGGCCTGCACCCCCTCTCCCCAGGGCCGCCTGTCCCCTGCATTTCCTGGCCCAGCCTCTCCCTCTGCCATCGCCAGCGTTGTGGCTCCAACAGGGTGCCGTCCGCTATGCCCAGGTGCCTGGAAGGGGACATAGTGAGCAGAGTGGAGGGCTCCCTCAAGCTGGACCCCCGGCTGCCCTTGGCGACATTCCTGCCCTTGGGGTGCCTCTCCACAGACCCTCGCTTGAGGCTGGAGAGTTGCCCAGGCCCTGTGGGCATCTCCGTAGGGCCCCTGAGCTGTGGGTCTGATCACCCCAAGGCCCTGCCAGAGCAGTCTGCCTGGGCTGTTCTGGGCCCGCCTCCCCTGGGCTCAGCTGGGGCTCCTAGTAGTCATGGATTTGAGGTGTCAATGGAGAGGGGGAGGCATCCTCTGTGGCCCCCAGCTGGACTCTACCCCCACTCTTGGAAAGAACTTGGCCCCAATATTTCCCTGGAGCCTAAGGAGCCGAGACTGAGAGAAGCCTTTGCAGAAAGGATTGCCGTGTGCATCTGCTTTGCACCCACCCCCAGCTGTCACAGTGTGGAGCACCGGCCACTGGCACCTGGCCAGGGTCCAAGGGCAGCCCTCAGAGTGGCTTTCAATGTCACCAACCCTTGGAACAGGCCTGGGGTGAACAGAACCCTCCTGGGGGAGAAAGCCTGGGGTGTGAGCACCTTGCAGGGTGGGGCGAGTTCTGAGCAGCAGCGCCCTGGCACACCCCCATGGTAGCCCCGTGCACACTGGCTCAAGGTCAGATGCCTGTCATGGCCACCAGCCTCCTTCAGTGTGGAGAGGACAGACCTGTCCCCAAGCCCAGCTCCCTGTGCCGCATGTAGACCCCAGGCCACCTGCTTGTGTGCCCAGTGCATGGCTGTGGAGGAAGAGGCTGGCAAGCACCCACAAGCCTGTTGCCCAGAACTGCACCCTGGGGTCTGAAGTGGCTGGCCTCCCTCCCCACTCCAGGGAGCACTGAGGCTTCTTGAAGGAGACAGGAACTGGGGCTTAAGAGAATGATCTGGGCTTCTCCCCTCTCCCAGACAGACCGGAAGCACGTGCTCCGTGGTGCTGGGCAATGCCACCTCGGGAGGCTGGGGGCTGGCAGCAGCCCCCAGGGAGGTGGCGTGGAGTGGGGGCTTTGGGAAATGTGAGGAAGTGGGAAGGGGAGGGTGCTCTTTGGAGCGGGTGGGAGGAGCTGAGCTTGCCTGGGGCTGCAGTGCGGTGGCTCCAACCCGCACGCCCACTCTGCAGTCACGGTTCACAGTCATTGCCTTAATGCACCTCAACGGTCTCCCTCTGCCAGCCTTGGGCCCGAGCCCGGGCCGGCCCCCAGGTGGTGGCAGGAGGAGGGTGGGGCAGATGCCCTTACTGCTGGAGCAGAGCCTCTGGGCGCATCCCTCCCGAAGTCGAAGTCGGGTTGGCGTAGCGCCCGGGTCGCACCGCCGGCCTGCCCCTCGCCCGCCATGCAGCGCCTTTGGCTGTGGTGGCGCTGCGCTCCCTCGCACGGCTGTCCGCTGTTTGCACTTTCGTCCATGCTCCAAAGAGTATTCATGATGCCTTCGTGCCGCCGGCGTGCCGCGGCTCTGCGTGATCCCATGCCGCCACGCCCGGCCTCCCGGTGACGGAGTGGCCACCACACCCATCAGTCTCCACTTGCACACGGCCGTTTTCTAGGGCTAGAAGCCAGGGGACGCACTCCAGCTTTCTCACGGACTAGCAGGACATGAACTGGTCGGCATGGGCGGGCCAGTGCGGGTCTGTGGGGACTTTGAGCACGCCGGGGAGTTCTGGAGGGTTCTGCTGCCTCGGGGCTGAGTCCGGCCCCCGGGGGCCTGTGCACCTTTAGTAAACACATGACTCGACTGCGTGGCTTCCTCACTGCACGTACACTGCGGCTTGCACTGGGCCCTGTATGGCGACGGAGTCTCGAGGCCCCAGGTGCCACAGATTAGAGCCCTAGGAGCCCAGAGATTCATTCGCTCTTAGGCCTGGAGGCCGGAGTCTGAGCCAACCCGTAGTGACTTCTGTGCCCCTCAGCTTCCAGGAGTGGTGGGCCCGGAGACAGCCTCTGACCTGGGCTCGACACCCTCCTGGGTCTGCCCACACGCCATTCTGCCCTCCATGCGTCCTCACCAGCTGGGCCTGCAGGGTGTGGGGCATGGTGGAGGGCCTGGGCTCATCCCACGTGTGGGCCAGAGTGCTGCTCAGTACAGGCGCCTGGGGCCTCAGGGTGTTCGAGCAGCCTGGGCGAGCCTGGCCACACTCGGGCCTGAGGCGTGGCCGTAAGCTGCAAGCTGGGGACACTTCCGTTGGGGACACCTCCCAACTCTCAGGACCCCTGGGCCTCTAGGACCCTTTGAGCAGGAAGGGCAGCCCAGGTGGCTCCGGGCTGCAGCTCCGTCCCAGGATCTGGGCTCTGTGGCACAGGCTCCTGGAGGGCCTGGTCTTTGCCCCTGAGACTCCCAGAAAGTTCTGGGCACACTTGGGTCAGCTGGGCTCAGACCTGCGGGCCGGAGTCAGTACTGAGCTTACCTCTGCTAATCTGCAGCAAAGGCTCTGGCACATTCCCTGCCCTCTGGGCTCAGGGCGGCATGGCCCTGCCAGCAGTGGGCACTAGTGTGGCCGTTGCTACTTGGCTGTGCTTCTGGGAGGCCAGGGGCAGCTGGAGCCCAGAGGCCCCTTGGGTCTGGCCCT